TAACACTTAGTATTTGACTCTCAATCTAAAGGAGAAGAAGCCCTTCACACATTGACTGCCACAAGTTCCATTAACACAGAGGGATTCGGTGCAGGCTGAAAACAGCTAAGCCAACTCCTCTAGAAAAAATGCCAGCAAAACAGAGCAGAGCTTGTGTGTAGGTTAGTAAGATGTAAGCGAGGGCCACAATGGGTGCAAGAAATCTGAAAGTGATGAATTCTCCTGAGACGCAGCATTCAACGTTGGCTTGAACTCGGTTAAGGGGTGTTGCAGACTGAGTGCTTTGACAGTCTCCAGAAGACTTTTGTTAAAGACATTGTTAATAAACTAACACTGAGCAGACCCACAAATAATCAGCCAAGCCTGGTAATACCATTATTTAAATCACTCACTCAACATAGTGTTTCTTTCAAGAGAGCACCATCCAAATCAGTTTATTTTGACAGATGTTTACAACAAGCAGTGATTGCTTCCCTAAATTATAGGATGGTACACACAGAAATTTAATTAAATTCAATTTTTTGGCAGAATAAAATCTTGTGCAACTGCTTTTAGCCAGGTATGGTGGTACATACCTGTAATTCCAGCACTCAGGAGGCTGAGGTAAGAAGACAGGTGCAAGTTTGAGGGCAGCCTCCTCTACAGAGACCTTGTCTTGAAGGAAGAAAACAGGAAGCCAACATGCAGAGCCACTTCTATAGAGTAAGGTGTAATCCAAATACAAGCTAGCTTCTGAGCTGGGCAAAACACATGAAACCTATTGCTTACCTACCACCCACAGCAGCTCGGGAAGTGCCAGATCCAGATCAGAGGCTGGTTTTGAAATGAATCATCAGTGGGTGTAAGCTGAACATTCATGAGTTTTACAGGAGAAATGGGATCAGAGATTGCAGATTTATGAACAAATAGCAAACAATAAAAAGGGAGAATGATGGCTGGCACAAAGGTTCTGAATATCAACAAGGTCTGGAATGTGCTGGAATTGTAGTCTGAGGTGACTAATCAATTCATGCAGGAAAGGTGGTAGCTGCGGGAACTATGAAGAGAGGCCTCAATTGTGTCATGGGATATTAGATGACAGGAAGCACAAACTATGGAGGGAAAAGATAACCCAGGTGGCAAAGACAGAAGGCTGCCTAGAGACCAGGAGGGAAGATGGGCTGCAGAGACAATGTGACACTGGCCAGAGAGTGTAGAACCAAAGCTGGTAACAAGACTGAGCCATGGTCAAGAGCCTGAATAACTTCCCAGGGACTTGGAGACAGTGGCCTCAAGGATCTTTGCCTCTAGTGTGCAGCTGTATAGCAATGTCACATTAGGATAAAGGAAGCACATACAAACATACAGAGACATCTCAAAAAAAAAAAAAAAAAAAAAAGGTAGGCACTTGACAGGTCTAGAGGAAACATGGGGAGGAGATGCTGCCATGCCGAGGAAGGGCCAGTACTGCCCCAGGGTGTGAGGCTGTGTGTCAGGACAACACTAGGAATGCTTAGTGTTCTCCAAACCCCGTTATGTCAGTGCATGCACCAGCTCTAAAACGATCCTTCCAGCTTCCCCTGAAGCTCAGTTACAACTGGGACCAAGCAGTTTCTCATCTTCAGAGTGGCGAGTCAGGTGACATATGGATATGATTAGGACTCAGAGACTTTTCTCTCCTTGCATTTGCTTGAACTCACTGAAATTCAACTACCAGGAAGACAGGCTAAAAAGGCTCACATTTCAACTAATAATTCCGATCCAATCTCCCAAGTGTCTTGTCACTAGAATTATTAAAATGAATCTAAACTGATGAGCTCTAATTGCAGCTCTTTTGTCTCTCTGGTTTTCCAAAAAGAGCTCTAAAACAAATGTCTCCTTGATTTGGGAAATGTTTAAAATATGCCTGTCACCTAAAAACATGAAAAGACTGCCCCAAAAGACACAATCCCAGTATGCAGCAGCTGAGGCCATGGCAAATTCTTCACTTAAAAATTTTTACTATTATCATTAGTCCACACTAATTATATCAGGGAGTGGATTTTTACTGTGGCTTCTTTTAAAGACGTTCTATTTGTTTATTTATTTATTGTATGGGGTGCCACAGAACACAGGTGGGTATCAGTTCACTACTTCTATCATGTAGCTTATATCCTACCTTAGCTCCTTAGATCTTATCTTACAGTGGTGAGTGTCCTGATCTGCTGAGCGATCTCAGCAGCTTCACCTTTCTTTTGAGTCAGGCTCTCATGCAGTTAAGAGTGGCCCTGAACTCACTATGTAGTTGAGTGTGAACTATGACAACTCCTTCAAAATAACATGACATTCTATGGGTATGCCCTTTACAGAGTGTGCATATGAAAAATAAGAGAGGACAGAGAGGGAAAGAGGGTTACAGCTGGGACATTACCTAGGAGCTGACAGCTCTTAAGACTGGACTACAAGCACTATCCTGTTTCTGTATATACTTAGAACTTTTCATGGTAAAAGAGATTTTCAAATGTAACCTACAAACCTAAGCAACTCAAGCAAACATAAAAGCCAGAAGCATGATAGAAAAGCAATATAATCTTTAAGACTAGACTCTGAATTAAAATGTAGCATGCTAAAAAGGAAGAATTCATGTTTCTGTGTAATTTTACAGAAACTGTCATTCTTTTCTCAAAAACAAACAAACCTAGACAATCATGAAAGAATCTACAAAGTAAGATGAAGATGTTCCAACTGATACAATTTTTCTACAGGCTCTGTAGTATGCCATTAGAATCTGGGATTTTAAGTAACAGAAGATCAGCAAGTAAAACCCATATGTCTCCTGAGACTCGCACAGCTAAGTGGTGAGTTGGTTCTCACTGGAAGAAGCAGCACACACATCCCAGCTGAGCACAGAGACCGTCTCTACTTCATCTTCCGCATCCATCTTGCTTTACTCTCTCCCCAGGTGCCCCTCCCACACATTAAGAACCAACATTTACCAAGCACGGTATTGACAAGCAGCTACTCTGGGGGAATCATGTTAAACAATGATCACTTTATACACATAAAACAAACCCAAAACAAAACAAAACTCCTACCCCAGCATGCACAAGTCTCCTCCGCCGCTTAAAACATATACACCACATCTAGCAGTTAATGGAAATTGCATTTATAAGGAATATTTTCTATTTGGCTGCAGAACGGAACTGTAGACAAGAGGAACACATGGGTGAATTTGAAGCTGTGCATTATGGAAAAGGTTTTACTGGCTGTCTGTCAGTCTGTGACTGACAGTCCTGGACTGACTTAAGCACCAGTTCTGAAAACTCCTCTCCCAATCAGCTTCCTGATACTCAGATTGCATTTTCCCCCAAAACAATTTAGGCTGGCAGGTGCAAAGAAATCCAGATGGCAGTGGTAGCAGGGTGTGGTGAGTCTCGTCTGAAATGCTAGCACTCGGGGAAGACCAGAGTAGCTCAAGGTCAGTCTTGGGCTATGCTAAATTTAAAAAAAAAAAAAAAAAAAAAAAAAAAAAAAGAGGAAGAAGGTGGCCAAGCACATATGCAAAATTTCACATCTGCAACCTCAGGTACCGATGAAGCTGAGTCAGGATCGAACCAAGCAGAAGAATGTCAGGCCAGGTTTGAGGCCTGTTAGGGATACATGAGTACAAGGTGCATTTATCCAACTTAGTGCAACTCTGTCTCAGCAAAAAATAAAGGAAGGGATGTGGCTTTGGAAGTAAGCTACCCTAGCACCAAGTTCTGGGTTCAATTCCTAATATTGGAAAAAGGGGGTGGGGTAGCTGGAGAGATGGCTCAGCAGTTACAAGCACTGGCTGCTCTTCTGGAGGACCCAGATTCAATTCCTAGCACTTATACTGCCCCTCACAACCACTTGTAACTTCAGTTCCAGGAGGCTCTGATGCCCTCTTCTGGCCTCCGTGGGCACTACACACACGTGGTAGGTATGCAGGCATGTGTAGGCAAAACACCACTCATCAACAAACAAAAGAAATAAACAAGGCATCTGTGTGCCAGGAGCGATGCCATAGACTCATAAACCCAGCACTCTGACTGGAAGCTGAGCTAGGATGTCTGTGGTTTGAGGCCAGCCTAGAGGACATGTAAGACCCAAGTCAAACAACAAAACAAGAAGGAACTCTGGGAGCTTCTGGAGGACTGCTTTTGATGAGATGACAGGCGATCACAGTTCTGTCAGGCTGTTTCCAGAAAGATGGTTTTAAAAACCACGAAGCTTCCTGGTAACCATCTTAACATGCATTCTTGATGTTTATAAACTCAAGGGAAGAGGACAAGCTCCCTTTGTGACCCTCAGCTCCATCCAAGGGGCCTGATAATAATCTAGATGCAGGTGGTGAGCCTGAGCAGGCTGCAGATCAGCCATGGGCAGCCAAGCACCGCATCTACATATAGGCCATAATTGGGTCCTACATACATTCAAGATTTCACCGCTCTCAAGGTTTTTTAGGGCACAAAATTGTTTCCATGGATACAGCGGAACAGGTAAAAAAAAAACATCACTGAGACAAAATAATCAAATCACACATGCATGCATTTTCTCATGTGCCTGTGCATTTGAAAGAATACTCAGGGATTCAATATTTCCATAAACAAGACATCCTATCATTCAGCCCCAATGTCTTTTTTTTTTTTTTTCCCTAGTTTTTAAGACAGGGTCTCAGGTATTCCAAGCTGGCCTCAAACTCATTATGTATACAAGGATGGCTCTATCCCTGGCCTCCCACGTCCTGGATTATATGTATTTAACCACCACTCCCAGTCTCTGTGGTGCCAGACAATCAAACCCACAGCTCCATGCCTAGTGGGCAAGCATTCCACCATGTATACCGCCAGCCCTGAAGTTGTTTTAAATTCATAATTTTAAGACTATGTTTCAATGTTGCAGTTCTATCATTCCAAAATTTTAAACACAATTTTGTAAAGCCCAGATCCACAAGCCAAGATCACAGAGGTTTGCTTCCCACCAGTCTCAAACCCTGCTAAGTCTTGTTTCACACTTGCCTGCGTAAGTGTTGGCCTTGTTCAGGAGGTCTGTGCAGGCATGCATATCAGCAAAAGCCCGGATTCCTAAGCAGTTGACGGGGTGAAGCTGGGACTCTAAAAATTCACAGCATGTCTTCTTCACATCCTGTAACTGTAGCAGGCCAGCCGCTGGGAGGAGGACCTGCAACACACAAGCGAAACACTTAGGCACCAGTGAGCAGCCACCCTCCCCTCGCCATTTCCACATAAGGTAGGTCCAGCCACAGACTATATGCACATATTCCACACAAGCAAATGCAACAGCTATGGTGAGAATGATGGTGATTCTCCACACTCTCCATAATTTCCACAGGATCTTTCTCAGGTCTCCATCACACAGGAAATGCCACACAGGATTCTATTAATGGTTTATTGGGTAAACATAAAACATTCATTTGAACCTTTTGAATTTCAGTTGTTAGTGTGTGCATGTGTGATTGTGTTAGGGTCCTGTGTACTACAGTCTCTGTGTGGAGGGAGAAGGATTAACTTTGGTAGACTCAATTCTCTCCTTCCAGGTTTCCAGGGATTGAATTTAAGCCACAGGGCTTGCTGGGCAGGCATCTTTATGTGCTGAACCATCTCTCCAGTCCTCCTTTACAATTTTAAAGCACAAATTATTAGGATGCTAGGGGGCGCTATGGTGCAACAAAAAAATGATTTTGTTCCCTTAATGCAAGCAGTCACTGACTTTCCGGATTGGTGCAGGTGTGGCCCAGACAGATGCATTACACAAGAAGACTACACTATCATAGAAGGCTCTAAGTTCTATGCTTTCCCTGGGTGACAGGTAGGGGTGGACATGCATCAAACAATTTTAAATTCAACATAAGTCTCAAGCTACAGGAGGCAATTTCTCTAGAATGCAATATAAATGCTAAGAAGTAATGCATAAAAGATAATCACCTAATAGTTTTTCAGTGTGCATTCATGTTTAAGTAACTCCAAGCAATTTGATATTAGTCACAGATTATCCTGGGGGAACTTAGCTATAATCTTCACCATAAACACTACCACCATCACTTCAACTCCTTTCAAATGGGTCAATAATGGAAGGCATTTTTCTCTGAAAATGAATTAGGACATTGCCATGTTAAAGACCACATTTGAAAGTCAAATTAAGGAGAAAAAACTCATTTAAGAAGTCGTGAAATTCCTGCTTTTCTTATGAAGGCCATCTACCTCCCCTGCCCCCTCAAATCAACTGTTGGAATAACAATCCGTTTTAAAAGAGACTACATTAGCATGAAAAATAACCCAAGTTCCTTCAGGGTTATTTTGGAAATGATGGGATGTAGCTCAATGGTAGAATGCATACCAACAATAAATAAATAAATATTACTTTAATATGCACTACATTGCAGCCCAAAAACAAAAAAAAAGGTGCTTATGGTTATCTCTTATGATTTTCCCATGTCTAGGTAATAAGACTTAAATTTGTGGAAGAACATGTTTCTTTTGTGGGGGAATCACAATCTACCCTTATTTTCCTACATGAAGCATCAAGGCTTTCACTGTGAAATGTGGAGGCTGTGTGTGTGTATTTGTGTGCATAAGCAAGTAGCAGCTACCAGGACTGAAGACTAAGAGGCTTAACTGTGATTTAACCCATCTATTAACTACCATCAGTTTTTCTCTGAAAACATAGCAAGAACACCTAGAGACAACAGAAGAAAACCAACACATAACTAAGGGGGTAAGAGCCAAACCTTTTGCATGATGTGCAGAGTGTGGCCTCCTACATTATGGAAATGACTATCCAAGGAAGGCTTTAATTTGTTGGTCACATTTACACTGGAAGGATTTTCTGTGCTGGCATAAGTGTGCTCTGAAGCAGCGTAAAATACAACCCAAGATACTTAACAACACAGCCATTTAATTTGGCAAACATACATAGTCTAGAAAGTGGTCTTCGGTGTAATATTCACTCTTTGGAATTTATACAAATAAACGGTAATGATCACCCATCTAATCGGCATTTCCCGAGGATGGAGCAATGTTTTCTAGTAGATTCCACCGTGGTGATAACACAGCAGGCAAGAGGAAACACTGGCTGAGAAGAAATAGGCTTGCTTATACACTGCTGGTGGGGTACAGATGGAGTGAACTTACATGAAGAACATTTTGTTTATTGCAACCCAAACTGCCACAGCATATCGCCTCTGACTCAGCAACTGAAGCTACTGACTCACTAACATGTGCAGTCTCCCTACCTCAGTGTTATTGTGGGCAAAAGTGGAAGTTGGAGGTGGGGGTCTGAATCACACAAGCAGACTGCTTAAATAATTGTCACCATCCATTCAATGGAAGATCATGAGTCATTAAAAGGGGAAAAACTATACAAATAAGATTGTCTACAATATTCTCAAGTGAAATAACTTCAGCAAACAGCACACATTATAGCCATCCACACGTGTGTATAACTATCCAAAAAAGTGCAGGTTTTAAAACCTTTTTAAAGGTGTGTGTGTGTGTGTGTTCTAGTATGTGTGTGTTCTAGTGTGTGGTGTGTGTGTATGTGTCTATGGTGTGTGTGTTGCCTGTATGTTGTGTGTTGTGTGTTGTATGTGTTGTGTGTGTTGTGTGTATATGTGTTGTGTGTGTTGTGTGAGTATGTGGTGTGTGTGTTGTCTGCGTGTGTATAAGTGTGTGTGGTGTGTGTATTCTGTGTGAGTGTGTGTTGTGTGTGTGTTGTGTGTATATGTGTTGTGTGTGTGAATGTGTATTGTGTGTGGTACGTGTGTGAGTGTGTGTGAATGTATGTGTGGTGTATGTAGTTTGTATGTGTGTTGTGTGTCTGTGTGGTGTGTGTATAAGTGTGTGTATAAGTGTGTGTGTATGTGTGGTGTAGTGTGTGTGTTATATGTGTGTGAGTGTATATGTGTGTGTGTGGTATGTGTGGTTTGTGTGTGGTATGTATGCCTGTGTGGTGTGTGCATTGAGTGTATGTGTGTTGTGTGGTGCATTTGGAGTGTGTGGTGTGTAGTGTGTGTGAGTGTGTAAGTATGTGTGTGTGTGTGCACTTGTGCCCTCCTCTATCTTTCTCAGTCTATTACTTTTGAGTTAGGGTCTTTTCCTAAATCTGGGGGTCGTTTTCTTGGTTAGTCATGATGCCATCAAGCCTGCAATTCTGTCTCTGCCACCCTCCTTGGGGCAAGGGTACAGTCGGTCACTAGATTATCTGGCTTGTTACATTCCCAACCTCATGAACACACAACAAGCCCTTCTTAACTGCCAAGCCTTCTCTTCAGTCCCTTACATTTTTATTTACTCCGCTTTGCTGGTTTTAATTTAATCACTAAGAATTACAGAACTGGCTTATCAGATGAAAGAAATTCACTAAAATTATAGTGCTTGAGAGCAGGGGTAGAAGTTCTGAGGACGAACTACCTGGATTATTTTTTAGGGGATGAGCAATGAGTTTGTTGCTTTCAGGCTTGGTAAACATACGTTAAACACATGAGTCAACTGTATAAAACACTCGTTACTATTTTTATCTTGCTAGTAAATTTTTCAAAACTGCCTTACTTTTGTGATGTAATTTTACTAGGACCAAACTGAAAGAACTCATAGTTATGTAATTAATTACACATAGCCTCAAAACAAACAAGTAATCGCTGTCCCAGTTCATTAATGTGACATCTGGTGAGCACCAGTCACTCATGACACCAACAGGGAAGTAGCCAGGACCACAACAACTACCTAGATCTGATTCAGTTAAACAGCTGGTTAAAACAAAACAAAATAAAAATGACCCACAGCCTGTAATTGTATATCTTAGGATCCACTTTTTCTAATGAAGAACCCAAACTCAAGTGAAGTTGAAGAGAATGTCTAAGTCATATGGCCATGCCATGGAAAGCTGGGAATATGATACAGTTGACCAACTCTCTAGCCTACCATTCCAACACCTCCAGTTCCATCTCTAGGTAAAAAATGGAAGTATTTGCATAATTCCTAAATATCCCATATTATCCTTTCATCCCAGTAGTAAACACAATCACTTCAATAAAATCACTCTCCTAGTAGCTTCCATTTATGGAGTACCAAGGAAAGCAGAGAGCTAAGCAGTTGATGCCAGTAATGCCTCATTGTTGGTGTTACTATATGGAAGTTAAAACAGCCTTGGAGACTGTAACTCACCTAAGGCCATAAATCTGATACAGCAACAATCCAAGCCTGTTATGTGAGTGACAACAATCCAAGCCTGTTATGTGAGTGATATTAACCAAAATGGGGGTAACTACTTCAGACAGCACATAGACATTCCGTGTTCATGGTTCACAATGTAAACCAGGGACTGGAGAAATGGCTCAGTGGCTAAGAATGCCTGCTCTTTGAGAGGACTGAAGTTTAATTCCCAGCACTGGAGATGGGCGGCCATGATAGGTGGCTCACAATGGTTTCAGGGGACCCAACACCGTCTTCTGGCCTCCGTGGACACCCATACGCATGCATATGCACACACACAAATTAAAATATCTTTTATGTTCTGTACAATGTGGCTCAATATATCATCAAACTGAAAGAGAAGGACACAAAGTTTGGAGCACATAGGACATAGGGATGGATTTGGGATTAGTTAGGGGCAATAGAGTGAATATGGTCAAGATATGTTGTATGACATTCTCAAAGAACTAATAAAGTATTACACTAAAAATATAAAACAGGAGTGCACTTTAAAGGCTACCTTCTCTTTATTTTGATTATATAAACACTCTTACATAAGTGCATTTAAACAAAATTTAAGCTAATAGAGAGAAATGAATTACAAACATATTAGGAATCAAAATATAGAACTCTGTCACAAAGGCAGAATCCTGAAGATGGCAAAGGTTGTAATTTTGAACATACAGATTTGTAAGATCGAATTTACTATATAATCTTTCGATATTTGCTGTGATTTTTGCATGTCAACAGAAGGATAGATGGCTCTCATTACACCAGGGCTTATTTTGTTCTGAGTCAGGTAAACTGTACTATTGGTTACAAGACAGAAAACGCTCTCACTACACTGTCCATATGAGCCTCAAATTTGCCACCCTTCTGCTGCAGTGTCCTCTGTGGTAGATTACAAGCATGTGCTGCCTTGACAACTAAGAAGTAACTTTCAGACATGCTACTAGTCATAAATATATCTTG